CCAAAGCAGGTATCCCTATTGGCCAATACCTTCAGTTACGTAGGAACTGCTCATCCCTGGATGATTTTAAAATCAAAGCCTGGGCTCTCCGTAAAGCCTTTAAAGAAAAAGGTTACCCGAATAGGGTCCTGTCATGGTAGTTTACCCCTACACGCAGGATTTAGTCCAACAATTGACAGATAGAGCAGATACGGCTTACCGGAGCTTAGAATGGCCGGACTCGCCATAAGCAGAGAATAGACAGAGTCAAGAACAAGCTGAGGTCAAGGGAACAAACAGACAGTGAGAACAAAAACTAGCCAAGGTCTGGTACACAGTAGTCAGTAAGCCGGCAAACAAGACAAAACAGGGATAGAGAGATAAACGGAGTCAGATACAAAGCCAAGGTCAAGCATGAAAATCACATCTGAACACAACAAGCGCTAAAGGGAACTGAAACAAAAACCACGATAGGGCAGGGAGTTAAGGGAGAGGTAAGTATAAATACCCTAAACTTTACTTTGATTGGCCCCTGTCATATCCACGCCCCCAAAATGTGAGTATATGGGGAATGTGGGATGACAGGGGCCAAATGGGAGCACATTTCATTTTTTGGCTCCCACTGCCCCTTTAAGAGCGTGTCCGAGACACGCGGCACGCTCTTAGAGCTAGGCGGAACACGTGACCGCATCTCGCGGTCCGTGCCCGCCTGCATTTGGGAAGTGAGGACCTCGGCCGGCCCCCGGGTAAGGTAAGTACTGCTACAGGTCCTAAAAAAGGCCTACTCCAGGGCTATTAATTCAGATTGTGACTTACTACTCTCAGATCATACCCCACCCTCTGACTACTTTATTCATTGTAAAGGGTCTTTTAATGCAGGCTGGCCAAATATGTTGAATATTCTTAAACGTTATTGGCCACTACTCACCTCTGACCCACACATAAAGCAGGTCATCCCCTCATTTCTGTCAGTTACAGCACGGAGAGGCAGGAACCTTAAGGACATGCTCATATCGAGCCATTTTTGCCCCCCAAGTAGACTCCTAAATCAATATCAATAAATGTGGCCACTGTAGTGCATGTCTATATATAGCTAAGGAAACCAAGACCTTTTCAGACAGTACGAATCAAGAATCTTTCCCAACATGCTCCTTTTTCAGTTGCCATACAGAAGGGGTTATCTATTTGTTGACATGTTCCTGCGGCATGAAATATGTTGGAAAATCTTCCACCCATTTAAACTCTGTATCAGGGAACATGTCCACTCAATAAGAAGGACACCTTAAAATTCACCATGCCAATTCCTCAAGTAGGATAAGGTTCATGGGTATCGAATCTATCCCCCAAATCCAACGTAGAGGAGCTTGATATCGGAAGTTAAGACAGAGGGAGTCTTTCTGGATATATAAACTCAACACCCTTTCACCATAGGGCCTCAATGAAGGCTTTTCATTTTCTGCATTTTTGTAAACGTTTGTTAAGATTTTTTATTCCTTACAGAGACTAGTTATTTAACTACTACAGTATATACTTACTCCTTGTACATTTGTGTATATATATATATATAATAAAGTATTATTATTTTCATATTTCTACCATATTTTTTTAGGCATTTTTTTGGTCTTTACCATCCCGGTTATTACCTTACAGCTTATTTTAAGTCACCCCTGCCGTGCAGAAAATTAAATAATTAATATCATAGTGATAGACGTTTTTCCGTCTAACATGGGGATGTCCTCTGAGACATCACAAGCCTTTAGGTTGTTGCAGTGCCGCAGGTTTTCTAACATAGTTAAGCACTGCTGATACTTGTCTTGCTGCCTCTTTTGTGTCTGTATCTCGAATTGGAGCTCCGAGATGGTTTGAGTGTGTTTTTCTGAGGAAATTTCCATCACTCCAAGGTGGCCGACAAGACCCGTGTGATCTGTGCAGAGCATGTTACATCCGCCTGAATTTTTTCTAGAGGTCTCCCAGCATGTCTTTCAGCATTTCTGCAGTCACAGGCCTGGAATATCTATTCTTTGGTGCAGTCTGTGGTGGCAATGAATACAACGTTCTGAAAGTACCCCCAACCAGGGTCAGATCCTCTAAGAGTAATCCTCCAGGTCTCAAGTAATCTTGGGCCCATATGTGTCATGCACTTGGAGATATACATTAATATTGAAAGGCACAGAATGAAATTATATATATATACAGTATATGGTTCACTGGCTTTGCTCCTCTTCATGAGTTTTGTTTCAAAGCTGTTGTCTGCAGCAGACACATACCCCAAGGAATACATGTATAAAGTGGAATTATGAGGCAAAAATGTGGTTCTTTGTTGAGCTCATTTGCATACGCTCACCCAGAATCCCTTGCAGTAGTGAGAGCACTGTTAAAGTGAGATTTCTGTGGAAAAAGCAAGTCTTATAGTTTGACTGGTGTGTGTACTTGTGTTTAGCAATGTATTAACTAAATATATATAAATTCATTCTAAGTGTACTTATATATTATTTATATTTAATTAATTATATGGGGGAGTCTAGAGAATTTAATATGTAACTTTCCAAAACCCCATAAAACCTGTGTATGGAGGTACTACTGTATTCGTAAGACTTCACTGAACAAAATTATGTGCATTTTAGAGCAGTAAAACTTATAATGACTGTGATAATACAGCCCTGGCATCTCTGGCACTGAAGGTGTACCAGTTCATGCAAGCTATTGGTCATGTGTTTATTTTACCAAACCTGTCCCAATGATCCACTAAATACTAGGACTCAGCTTGGTAGAGTATGCACTGGCAATGCAGTATACACCACATTGGAATCTGGTTACTATAGGATATTCTATCTATCTAGTCCTCTGGCAATAATCGTATTAGTAATTACTCTATAGAGGACAATGAATAGCAATATACCCGTGAAACCTCAAGGTAGAGACAAACCAGCTTCTTTCTGGCAACTCAAAAGAACTAAATGTATAGATCACAGTATAAAGTAAAACATATTTTACATTTATTTACACCTAAGGGAATACAGAACTGGCCAAACAGAACACACAGGAAAGAACTGGTTACAAAGTGATTCACCCCCAAGCAAGTCCACCCTGACAACAAAATGTTATCTTGATTGGCCAGGTAGATATTTGGGCCCACTGTCCCTTCAGAGCAATATCTGATTACATTAACACAGTCCTTAGCTGTAGTAGATAATATGCAATTACAAATGTAGACTTGCCAGCTCCAACATCAGGTGACCACTTGTAGTACAGAAAGCACCGAAGACACTTGCTGGATCGACGTTCCACATCCTCCAAAGTCTCGCAACGAATGGGTGCTAATGTGGATGCACTGCCAATACAGTTGGCGCATTAGTCCACCCCATAGGAAAGCATTGAATCAATGCTTTCCTATAGGTAAAAATCTGACACTGGATGTCCTCATGCAGAGCGTGATGTCGTCCAGCGTCAAATACCAGACAGCCACTGTGGTCAGACTTTTCTCTGGAACTGCAATGTTTAACATTGCAGCACTAGATACAAAAGGGACACTGCACCCAGACCACTTCAATTAGGTTAAGTGGTCTGGATGCCTACAGTGTCCCTTGAATTAACCCACAAAATACATTGCAAACAATATCTCAAAGCTATGTTCTCTTAGTCTTACAACTTGTGGCTTGCACAAAATAAATCGGGGGATCATTCCATCCATCACAATGACGATGATATCATCGGTAAAAGGGCAGTTTTTGTGTGAAAAATACAAAAAACATATATTAACAAAACCTTTCTCCAGGGTTTGTGACTAAGTGGCTACTAAAAAAGATTGCACATACCCTATTTTAAATACCCTGGGATGTCTACTTTTGCCAAAGGTGTGTCATGATGGTGTTAATTTTCATTCCTGGGCTGCCACATGGTCTCAAAGGCTACATAGGACCTACAAACTAATCTGGCAAATTTCAATGTTTAATAAGTGAAATGGGCAAATTCTTTATTTGACCCAGTATCTTTCTAAAACAACATAACACCTGTACATGGGGCATTGTTCTCATGGGACATCACACGTACAAATATGTGTATTTTATTGCAGTAAAAGCTAACAGCATTTTGACATTTAAAATGCCATGCAAAACTTGGAAAATAATATTTCTTAATTTTTTTTTTTAGATTTTATTCATATTAAATTGTGTTCCATCAATAAATACGTGATGTAAAATGAAAGCCCTATTTTGGGTGCACTTAATATGAAAAAGATAAGTTATGATAGAACAGACATATAGCTCATATTCTAGGTATTATGCCCGGCTCACCTGTTTCAGAAAATTTGACCGCGGCTAAAAAGTGTGTCAGAAATAAATGTGTACTCTTGCAGGTCTTTTTAATAGCTATGGGAGCGACATAATTGAGAACCAAGAAAAATGAGCAAACGGAGCAGGAACTAAAAGTGACAGAAGAGACTCATTAAAGGATATTTAGGGCAAATAAAGGAACAAATATGTGTAAACAGTAAAAGGCCAGACAGCCAGCCTAAAACAGATCATATTATTATTTTATTCATAGCCCCCAATGTTTCACCTCTCCCAAAAGGAAGGAAATAAAATTCAAGGCTTCATAATCCAGCCTGGTTTAAAGGACAGATGTACTTATTTCAGGGTAATCTAGAGCACCCCATTAGCATTGTTTATTAAATCTGTCCCTGAAATATCCCTTAAATTTGCACACAAAAAGTGTCATATATTTAAGAGAACAAAAATATACAAATATATGCTCCTATCTGTGGCTTGTTATTTTAAAACATGGTTTTTATTCAGCAGATAACCTCTACGGGTAGCAGACAGCAGGCTGCCAAAATCTCAAGGCTACTGCCCTGAACAGTCAGCACCTGCACCTCCTCCCTCCCTCAATGTCCCTTATGTGTGTCCCCACTAGCTGACTGAGCCATCCTTATCAAGAAAAAAAAACACCCGGCATCACGGGACTTGTAGTTCTGAAACAGCTGCACAGATACTGATCTCGGCTACGAGAACGTTCGCCTAGAACTACACGGCCCGTGATGCTTTGCGAGCGGCCTATGAACACGTACCACATGGACTAGCTGAGAAGCCGGAGGGGGGCAGGGCTGGGTATCTTGGCAACACCCGGGTGCCTCCTCCCCTCCTGCCAGCCCTGGCATCGTGTCCTGGGCTCCTTGTGTCTTCCTGCACCCCGTGAACCGGTCCCTAAAGCGGGGAGGATAGTCACAGCCACCATGGACGTATTTGGGGATCTGAGGAGAATGAATAAGAGGCAGGTGGGTGTCACAATCAATGGTAGCCATGTGGGCAACCTAGGCTGGTGAGGGGGCTACCTCATCCCCCAGCTTGCTATACTGGTTTATATGAAGTGTGTGGATGCCAGTCAGCAACCCATTAATGCCACAGCTGGCACTCCAGCTGGTGTGGACTACAAGTCCTCTGATGAAAAGGCATCATGGGATATGTAGTCCTCATCTGCTGAAGACAGAGATAAAAGCTAAGCCACCCCTGTCCATCATTTTAGGCTTAATAGTATTTGCTATGGGAGAAGAATAAACAAAGAGAGAAATGGGAGAGAAAAAAACAAACAAACAAAAACACACACACACACTCACTCTCTCTCTCTCTCTCATATAACAGTAACATTTATTTTTGCTGAAACACATTTCCTTTTTTTATACAGGACAATCTGAATGACAATCTTTTTTTACACAGGGCTTCTGAATGACATACTGTTTTTAATTCGTTTTTAAATTGGGATAAATAATGTCTAAAAGCACACGTCAGATAGTAAAAAAAATCACATAGATCAAAGACCGTTGACACTATAATTGTCTTAATTGTCAGTGTGGCTTATAATGTTTCCCTTACATGCAATTTCAAGTCTTTACCCCAATAATATTGATAATACCGAGGTAACATATCTTTAATACTCTTATTTTGACAGCTGGTTGACAATATGGCATTCTATCGAAAACTCCCATCACTAGTTTTATTTTTAATGTTTATTTCTAATGCGCTAACATATTCTGGAGCACTGTTGCAGTGAGGTAGCATTTAAACATTTTATTTAAGAGCATGACATTTTTGTAGTATGTTTGCTCTTTTAGTGTCATCTGAAAAACTTTTCTTAAAGGGGACCTCCATGCATCATCATCACTAGAGCGTCCCCTGCCTGTGAATCCCATCCAATGACCGTCAGAATTAATATTACTAATGCAGAACTAGGAAATTCCACTTTTAGCAGTATCTATAAAGAGGGGCCAGCACAGCATCAACCATAAGGTGATCATCAGTGGTCACATAAGCCTCAAAACGTAATCAGGGGTCATGGAACTATGAATTTATTTAACCCTATTAAACATCCATATGTGAAGATTTAAGGAGGGCCCAAACTGATTAACTTAATACTTCTCTAAGAGGGGCCAGACCATAAAAGCTATGAGGACCGAGGTATGTGGTAGTGAGCCAAGGAACTTTGGGTACCATAATTACTGCAGCACACCATTGTATATATTGGTCTTCAGAGGGGATGTTTTATCGTGTTCATGATTGTATCATTTTGTGTGCGGAAATTATCCAGGGCTTATTCATTAGTTGGCAGCTGTGATGGGGTGACAACTTTAGGAGTTTTGTAGAAAATCTCAAACTGGGCTGATTCTTAGAGGTTTTTTTCAACACCACTAGTATGGCCTGAAATTTGCAAGTTGATTATCAGAAAATTTATGTTTAGCCAAAAAAAAGTATCGCTGTAATATTGACAAACCACTTCTATGCATGGATAAACTTACTGTAATTGTTATGGTTCTGGTGACTATAGCATGTTCGTGCAGGCTGAGCACTGTAAACACTGCCTTTTCAGAGAAATGGCAGTGTTTACATTGTCGCCTAGGAACGACTCTAGTGACGGTCACTAAAGGTGCTTCCTAGTTCAGTGTCCACGCTCTGCATGGAGGCACTGAACATTCCCCATAGATATGCATTTACTCAATTCATTTCTACAAGAAGATTCTAATTGGTGCAGCAGCCTCCTAGTGCTTTCCTATGAATCTTGATGATCTCAGTCATGGATGCGGGGCCAACCGCAGTGAGACTGGTGCGGCGTGGGAGAAAAGGTAAGTAAAAACCTTTTTTTTTTTTTTTACTGAGATTGGAGGGGGCTGGTCACCTAAACAACCACTTCAGGACTATAGTGTCAGGAATACATACATGTTTGTTTTTATACATTGCTGTGCTGGAGAGCAAGAGACATAGGAGAGTTCTTCTGCTCGGCTCATCAATCACCTGTCATGAAAAAGGGCTTTCGATGTTTGTTGAATTCCCAGCACCTATTGAAGGCAGTGGCAGGATGTTATTTAGACATGTACCAACAACCTAGAGATTGTTGCAGACCATATACACCCCTCCATGGCAATGGTGTTCCCTGATGGCAGTGGCCTCTTTCAGCAGGGAAAATGCAAAACTGTTCAGGAATGGTTTGAGAAACATGGCAAAGGGTTCAGTGTGTTGTGTTGGCCTCCAAAGTCCCCAGATCTCAATCCGATTGAGCATCTGTGGGATGTGCTGGAACAACAAATCCGATCCATGGAGGCCACATCTAGCATACTTGCATGGCTCTAAAGATCTGCTGCTTTTGTTTTGGTGCCACTTACCACAGGACACGTTCAGAGGTCGTGTGGAGACCTTGCCTCAATGCATCACAGTTTTGGCAGCACGAGGGGGACCTACACAATATTAGGCAGGTGATGTTAATGTTGTGACCTATCAGTGTATGTTGATACTCTTTTAATACCACATATATACAGTGCAATCAATATAATACAGTACTTAGTAAAACATGTTGGACGCCGATGAATGTTTGTTTGTTTTCATTGAGAAATTGAGATAATTTTGAAAACTTGCATTATTACGGTAATATAAATATTCATTTATTTTATGTTAGTTTTTAGGTAATTGCCTGAGGTAGCATTGTATGTTGCATTTAAGCCTATGTCTATGCTGCATGTTATGGGTGAAATGATTCCACTTTGCTGTATCCTCAGCAGGTTTGATTCCAGTGAGTTATGTATTTAAGTATATTGAAATGCACACAATGTTAAAGTGTTGTGTTATTGTCTCAGCACCTTCTCTTTGCCCCTTCAGATAGTTTTAGTATAAAAATGCTACAATTGATTCCATTTTATTCCTACAAATTTCCAACAATATGCATAATTATGAATTCAATGGCATCTGCATATAATGAAAAGACTTATCGCTTCCAGAATGCAAGATGTATATTAATTGAGGGTAATTGAGTGTACGTCTGCCATTCCACAGTAAGTAGTCAAACCATTTTAGTATACAACATACCTGGATCACTCTGAGAGTCCAGAGGGAATACGCTAGATCTACAGAGTTAATGAAGACCGTGCTCATTGGATGAGAGCAATCATGCTCACGCTCATTAACAATTTCTCTCACTGTTGGATAATAAATGCCTACGCCATGTCTCCGTCAGATGCCTGAGTGAGCACACTCGTGGCATCTATATGAGTAGCAAAGATATTACAACAGGGAAGTGCAGAGGAGACAATTTAGTTTTATGACTACATTATTCACTCTAGTAAATGTTAAAATAGCTTCTACTGGGAGGAAAGAATCAAAAACTGTCACTTTTCTTGAATTGACAGTTCCACTTTAACGACACATCGTAGGATAAATGTCTGCATTGACGCTGAGCCAAGCACTCTTGGTTTAGGTGCAGGCCCACTGGCCCAGTAACAATTCATACTGCAGCCAAGCCAAACCTACAGCAAGGTGGGATAGGCAGGGCTGATATCTTCTACTCAGTCTGTCAGCTTGTTTGTCTGGAGAGATGACATGGTTCACATAATTCTTTCCAGCCTGTTTCATGCTTCCTCTATTCTATTTTTGTTACTTCTCTCAGTTCAAGAGATTCTTTATCAGAGTCTTACTTTACTTATGGCTGGCTGCTTAACACTAAGACTTTGGCACCCAGACCACTTCATCTCATTAAAGTAGTCTTGGTGCAATGTCCCTGTCCTCCTTAGTCCTGCAATGTAAAACATTACAGGTTTTTTTTTTGAAACTGCAGTGTTTACATTGCAGTTCTAAAACAGCCTCTGGTAGCTGTCTACCAGACAGCAACTAGAGATGCTTCTGGGATCTTACCGGACTCTAGGTCGCCTAATTGATACGAACATCCTCATTAGTAAAATCCCCATAGGAAATCATTTGATGCTTATCTACTGGGAGTGCATAATGCGCTTGCGGCGCACCTGCATTAGGTCCCGCCTTCAGATGATGTTGGAGTAGGCGAAGTGCTCCAGTAAAGTAAAGGTTTTTTTAAACCCCTTTGTATGCCAAAATGGGCCACGACACAGGGGGACTAGAGGGCGCTATGTTGTTAGGAATAAAGCAAAACTATGATCTAGAAGTGTGGTATAGCACAATACCAAAAGGCAAAATAGTTTAACCTAGTGCAGTTATTGTGTATAGGCTGCTGTAGCCTCAACAGCAAGCGAAATATAGCAATCCAAAGTATTCATCCACAAAGCGTAGCTTAGTTATAGGGGCTTACTAGTGCAGCCCAAATTTATAAATTATAAGTGTTAGGAATACAGATTTTTATTCCTAAAACTATATAATCCCTTTAAAGAGATACTATAGGCATCAAAACAGCTTAACTTAAATGAACACTATAGTCACCTAAGTTACTTTAGCTAAATAAAGCAGTTTTAGTGTATAGATCATTCCCCTGCAATTTCACTGCTCAATTCACTGTCATTTAGGAGTTAACCCCTTAAGGACTGGACTGTTTTTGCAATGTTGTACATTTGCGACCAGGACTCTTTTTACACTTTTGTGGTGTTTGTGTTTAGCTGTAATTTTCCGCTCTCTCATTTACTGTTCCCATACAAATTATATATTGTTTTTTTCAGGACAAAAGGGGCTTTCTTTACATACAATTATTTATATAATCTCATGTAATTTAATTTAAAAAAATTTTTAAAAAATGATGAAAAATTTAAAAAAAAATACATGTTTTTTGACTTTTACTTGAAAAATCTTTTACTCATCTACAAAAGTGAATGAAAAAACTGCTAAATAGATTCAAAATGTTGTCCTTTTTTGCTTTTTTTTGCAAGTTATAGGGCTATAGGTACAAGTAGGATATTGCGGTTTCAAAACATACATTTTAAAAATGTATCAATAGTGACATTGTAACAATATTATCTGTCATAAATCTCTGAATAACACCCCACATGTACATATTTTTTTTTAAAGTAGACAACCCAGGGTATTCAATATGGGGTATGTCCAGTCTTTTTTAGTAGCCACTGCCATCAGTCGAAAACACTGGCCAAAGTTAGCATTCATATTTGTTTGTGTGTAAAAAAAGTAAAAAACTAAATTGAATGCTAATTTTGGCCAGTGTTTGTGACTAAGTGGCTACTAAAAAAGACTGGACATACCCCATTTGCAATACTTTGGGTTGTCTTCTTTTGCAAATGGTATGCCATCATGGGGGTAATTCTCATTCCTGGGCTACCATACGCTCTCAAAGGCAACATAACCAACCTGGCCTTTTTCAATGTAAAAATATTTGACCCATATATTTGACCCTGTAACTTTCAAAAACGCTATAAAACCTGTACATGGGGGGTACTGTTATACTCGGGAGACTTTGCTGAACACAAATATTAGTGTTTCAAAACAGGAAAACATATCACAACAATATCATCAGTAAAAGTGCTGTTTGTGTTGAAAAATGCAAAAAAAAGTCACTTTCACTGACAATATCATCACTGATATGTTTTACTGTTTTGAATCACTAATATTTATGTTCAGCGAAGTCTCCTGAGTAAAACAGTACCCCTCATGTACAGGTTTTATGGTGTCATAGAAAGTTACAGGGTAAAATATAGTGCAAGCAAATTAAATTCTCTGGACTTTCGACCTGGGTTGGCAGGCAGGTCCCTCAAATTGCAATCAATAAAATTACTTAATTATGTAGAAATATTACATGAATACGCACATAGAATTTAAATATGCATATTTAAATATTTGAAGTCTACGTGTATATTTATATAATTATTTATGTAATTTTGTATATGGACATATGTATATTTCTTATTATTTTTAATTTATATATATACATAGATATATATACAATTTCATATAGATATATATTTTTATTTTTTATTATTATTTTTACATGTTTTTATTTAATTTAAATTACTTATTTGTATTTTATAATAATATTTATATACAATATATATATACACACACATACACACACACACACACACGTGTGTAATTTAATTATAAGTTTATTTTTATATTAATATATTTACATAATATAAAAATACACTTAGTATGACATTATATATATGTAAAATCATAAAAAAATTAAAGTTAAAGTTAATAAAAAAATATATGTGTGTATATATATATATATATATTTATATTACACAAGATCCAGCGCACTCACCTATCCACTAAACAGCAACTTCAATGTTGAAAGATTTTATTTGGTTTTTTTTTAAAACACCTAATCTAGGCAAAAATAATGGGGGTTTAGTTACATTATATGATCATACATTGCATAAGCCTGCCACAACGTCAATGTACCCCATCTTTGGCAGGTCCTACACTAACAGCCTAATGTCTGCTCTTATGAGATTAACCTACTTGGGGAAAGAAATTCCATCTGGGGCTCTCTGCAGTACAAGGCTAAATAGGGCCCTGGGATGAGGCACCTGTGACAGGGAGGGGTGCAAAACCAAGGAGTTGGCTAGACTCCCAAATATATATAAAACAAGAGGGGGTTGGCTGCACTCACCTTAACATGCATAAATGGGGGTGCTGCTGGGGGCCAAATAATACAATACACAAGATCCAGCGCACTCACCTATCCACTAAACAGCAACTTCAATGTTACTGGCAATTTGTTTTTTGGAATCTAGAGATACACTACATGCATTTATAAATGCAATGTTATTGCTAGGAATCCCCAATAAATAATGCAGTTATGGTCACTGACCAGCAATTGGACATAATTTGTAAAAATAGACTTCTGGAGCAGTCGAGGTAATATCTGTGCTATATTGTAAGTGCATACTTTTCTAAATGAGCTCTTGTTTGAAAGTAAGTTAAAACACTGTGGTGTAAAATCTTTACCAATATCTTCACATAGACTAAACTGTTTGTTTCTTTGATTTGCACAATAGGAAATATATGCGGTAGCTATCAATTCTAATGGTTTTCCTGGATTGTTTCCTTGCAGTTGTACTATCAAGTACTGAACTTTGCCATGATAGTATCATCGGCTCTCATGATATGGAAAGGCCTAATAGTGGTGACTGGAAGTGAGAGTCCCATCGTCGTGGTGTTAAGGTAGGAGTAAAACAGTATCTTAGTATTGTTATGATTCTTTACTCTGCAATTTAAATCTGTATATGATTTCAGGTTTGGGATTTGATTTTTTGTTTTTTTATTTTGTCCAAATTAAAGCTGCTTTCAAGAGCATGTAAACATATAAAATGAGAACTCTGAGAATGGGCAAAAGCTTCAGAAAACTCAATAGCTTGCCTTTTAGTTAATATCTGCCCAGGTCTCAAAATGGATATTGCTTACTTGTGCCATTCTGTTATTGTCTGCTTTTGCGTCATTGCATTTGGTTAGGGTCTCCCTAAGTTATAAGATATGTCTGATATGCAAATGGTATAGGTTCTCTCTCTAATGGCATAAGTGAGTAATCAAAAATAAAAAATAGACAAACCAAAAGCCAAGCTTTTGAGTTTTATGAGCTTTGCCTGTTGTCAGAGTTCCCATATTCTCTGTTTTTGTTTTAAAATATAACTTGTTAGTTTAGTATTGTTTTGTGGGTTTTTTTTAAGTTTATTGATATATGTTGATATGTGTTATTGTTTCCTTTAACAACTAAACTGGTTGGCAACATCTTAAATGTTTAGGAACACTGTAGGCACTATAAACATTTTATCTCACTGAATTGGTTATAGTGCATGGAGTCAAATTGAGCCATCACTCCATTTATGTTAAACCATTTTTGAGCAGTTTAACATTGAATTAAGGTACCTGTCCAGCAAACGTATACTGCAGGTATGGCTAAGGCTGAGATTAAACCCTTCCTTCCAGCCATACTGATTAATACTAGCAATGGGCACTGTGATAGGTTGAAAGTGGTCATCAGACTCTTTTATTGCTGCTTAAGCTAATCCATTAGCCCAAGCAGCACAGAGGGGATGGGCTGCTGGTGACTCTTCATTAAAAAATGTCTGGATTTGAATGGAAGCACAGTGCTTGTGGACTCCAGGCACTATAAGCACTTCAGTGAGAGGAAGCAGTTACAGTGCCTGTAGTGTCCCTTTAAGGCCAAGAACAGTTTTGCCCCAACTCTATGGGCTATTTCAAGCATCATAACCACTGCAGCCTGTTCTAGAATTAATGAATTCAGGAGTACACTGGCCTATTTTCCAGGAATGGAACAAATCAGGTACTCCAGGGGCCAGTAATGCTCATCCAGCTTCTGCGGAAACTGAAAGCCTATCCAGCCAACTATTCATTGGCTAAGACTACTCTCAGCCACTGGTTGCAACTCTGAATTCATAAGCATATGCACAGAACTGACATTATCCATCCCGGAACTCTTGTTCCGGACTAGCTCTTCACTCTGATGGAATTACAAATTCCGTATATGCAGCATTTTATAGCTAAACATTGCACATGCAGACTCCAGGCACCATGAGCACTTTAAATCAAATGTATATTCCTAACTCCACAGGGTCCTGGTGGCCGTTAAGGTTACGGGCCCCTACCTGTAAGGAGCAAGAAGGTCTTGTAGAACTTTTCTCCCTCGCAGAGCCAGTCATCATGGTTGACCCTTCTCCTTGGCAGAAATTATTGAAATCTATCATCTCAGCCAATCCAATGCTTTCCCATTTGAAGGCTAGAGTGCATGTCTGGTAAAATGCCGCACTGCGCCAATCACATGGTCTCTCTGAGACCATCTGATTTATATAGCAGAATTTTACTCTGCTATTTCATTGGAAGCACCTCCAGTGGCTCTTTCCTTTGGCTTCACTACTGCCACTAATAAAATACTATAACACTACTAGTAGCATATGATTTTTATTAACACAAAACTCATACTAAATTATTGCTGTTTTTATATGTATAAAAATAGTCTATGTCTGCTGCATGTATAAAGACACACAAGTTAGTATGATATTTTTTTTTCCAGTTATGACAATAAATAAAAACAGTTTTTGTTTAATTTTCATACAACTAGCGAAACTAAAGACAAATCCCAACATGTATATTCACAAAGTTCTAATGATTTGGGTTTAGTTATTATGATTCCCTTTTGCTTATTGTACAGGCAATCAGTGCTATTTTTAAAGTGCACATAGATATGTAAAAAAAAAAAAAAAAAGAAAGAAATATATTATGTAAGATATGTGAGATTTTTTCCACCTGACCCGTTCACAGATGGTTAGCTGAAAGACAAGCACTCAGCTCACGAGCTGCTAAGTCTCCTTCAGTGATGCTCCATTTCATTTGAAATTATTTTTGGAAATCTAGTTGAAGTGGAACTGTCACTCTGAAAATAAGAATATATTTGAATCATGTGTTGATTTCCTTTTGCTATTAACAGAGATCTCAACTCTAAATCAACTCTGTTGTATTAAAGGATAATCACAAAATTACAACCATTTGTATACACAGTTCCATTGATGCCTTTTCAAAATGCAACTGCCATATACATGTGTAGTTTTATTAAATGAATTATGTAGGTCTCATTTATTGTTAATTTTCCCACTTTTATACTATTGCAAGGTGCTGCAGAATATGTTGGCGCTATATAAATGCCAATAATAATAATAACAATATATAGAATAGGAGCCATGAATAAAAAAAATAAAATAAATGAATAACTCTAGTTTCCGCTTCTTCTTTTCATATTAAGTAGATCTTCATTTTCTAGTTGACATGATGAAAAGTATCTCTCACTGTAGGGGCTATGTATAACTGTCACAAACTGTATCATTTACCTACTATTACAATGTAGCAGACACGTTCTTGTCAGGTGCCTGGTGGATTTCTGTAGACCAACTTTTAAGCGTTGAAGGGTCTTGTGTTTTTCTTTTTTTTTTTAAATGAACACTGACGCGTTTCAAAATCCATTGATGATGTTACTTATATCAGTGTGTATTTGTTCAATACATGGAAAATCAGTTTTTTGTCCTGGAAACATAAGTGTGTGACCAGTATTTCGAGGATCTGATTCACCTTTAGACTGGGAAAACAGAGTATAATAATGTGCACCTTGTGATTACAGTATTACTGAAGAAACATACTGCATACATAGAGTGTATAGCACTGGCACCACTAATGCTTAGCAGATTGTGAAGATGTCATCCGTGACATCATCAGGTCTACCCTGGTAATAGCAACCATTATTCCCTCATCCTTGTCCAAGATTCAGTTTTTCTACATTCCTGGCAGTTTTGAAACCTCTCAACTACCCTCCAGGGTTTTCCTCATCTCTATCACATAACATTTCTAATCCCTGTATCTACATGTCCCACCAATCCTTCAGCACATTGTCACTTTCTACCATTTCTACCATCCCATTGTGCGATGTACAACCATTAATAACTCTTACTTCATCAGTGATTTGTATTGATGTAGCTCACTGCAAATGAGACAAGTACCCATGAAGTAATAAAAAAAACCTAAAATATATTTTCATTTTGGAAATGTCACTGTTTATGCCTCTATTCACGCCACGTAAATACCAAAGTATATATAGAAATGCATACATGTCTAATTATCTTTGTAACGTTCAAAAAGTTGTATATATTCATTAAAGTTCCAGACCTTCAGTGAATAAAGCATCAATTTAACTGTATATTTTACAGTGGATAATATATTTTTCAGTAAACGTATTAAACCCCAATCTTTTGTTTTTCACACAGTGGCAGCATGGAGCCAGCATTCCACAGGGGAGATCTACTGTTCCTTACAAACTTCCATGAAGATCCAATCCGAGCTGGAGAAATAGTGGTGTTTAAAGTGGAGGGCAGGGATATTCCGATAGTGCACAGAGTCATCAAAGTTCATGAAAAGTAATACCTTTATCCTATCATTTATCATCTTTTGTCAAACCATGGCACCTTGTGTTGAATACCTCTATACTTGATATATAATATAAATCAATGGTGCCCAAAAGGTAGATCCCCAGATATTTTTAAAACTACAGCTTCCATTACATTTTGCCATTCCAATGGCATGGGTCATGGGAGTTGTAGTTCTACATTTTGGGCACCCCTGATGGTCTGTTGATTGCAAAGTAAAGCACTTACAAAGTATTAAGCCCATAAATTTGTTAGAGTTCTCATTCTAATAAATTGTAGGGACAGGCTAGAAACAATGTTTTACATGATAACCATTAAATTTCTGTTCTTAACACACCTCTTCCAAGATTTCTCTACATAAAGATACATAATTACATGGAGAAGCATCACTTCACAGAGACATTTGTTTCTGTATATTCCAGTAGCCTAATTGCAAAGTGTTTTATTCATTAGTGAAGAGTAGAAAATAAAGTTGGAAAAGTTAGACCTGAATAACTAAATCGGAAAAAAAAAGAATTATATACAACCTAAATGATTTCAGCTTCATTACCAACTCTTTTCGTTATGGCCTATACATATATATTAATAATAATTAATCTGGAGTTTTGATTATATATTTATATCGCCAGTTGAGATATAGCAACTATAATTAAGCCAATGCATTTTGACTGCAAGTTACTCCCACACTGCTAACCGCACAATCCCACAATACAGAAATAAATTAACCTTTAGGAAGTTAAGTAAATTGGTCAAGTGAACCTGTGTGCTACTAGGATTTATGGGTAGCTTTTCTGCACTGCAAAAATTATTATTTTTTAATTCATTATTTTTGCTAAATCTCTTTACCGTTTACAGCCAACTTAAATCTGAAAATCTCCAGAAAAGTATAGATAAATTGATTGATGGCAGAGGTGCCTAGACATTAGTTGTGGTCTGCTGTTTTGTAAAATGTGTGTGTGTGTGATCCACTTATGCATGTGTGAATGAGGTGAAGTGTAAGCATTATCAGTGTGTGCATATATGTAGAGGGTCATTGTGTCTGAATGGGTGCTCCCCCCCATTTCTAGATTCACATTCCCACCCCTATAAGCATTAGTCATTAGCCCATTCCAGTAGACTGTTCTTCCCACATGGTATTTACTCTTTATGATTCCCAAAGGGCAGATCCTATGCAAAAAAAGTGCATATCTATCACACAGCTTACCAAAGTTGCCTGTCTGCACAGATACAATCATCATATTTTGCAATATTTCAGAGCAAGCAACCACTAAGGTACGGCATGTACGAATACTACATGTTGATTACATAATTACACCATACCATAGCTTAAATGAACACTACACCTTACCATAGCTTAAATGAACACTCACAGAGATGCATTGAATCTATGCATCTCTATGCGTAATGTTCAGCGCCTTAATGCAGAGCATTGAGACTCTGAATGAAGTTGTGCAGCACTGAGATAGGAAGCACATCTGGTGACTGTCTCAGTGACTGCCGCTAGAGGGGTTAGTAGGCAGCAAAGAAATTAGTTGTAGTCGGTCTGGTGACTATAGTGTCCCTTTAATATGTATTTTAAGTGCACCATTTAGACATACTGATATATTGATATATACCATTAATTATACAGTTAAGCATCTAAATAACTAATCTCATGTAAATTATGGATCATTTATCAATGCACACTATTAAAACACAAATCAGTGGTAATATATGCAGTATACCAAATAATAATATCAATCCTGAGGCTATTACTGAAAACAATGCCAGCGTTTATCAGTGGATAAGGCTGCTTTAATTGCTGCCAGCAGAGGCTCTGAACCTTAAGCATCTGTCACAATTTAGCTATTCATAACCAGGGGATGTGGGTGAACCATGGCAAAATACATTGTGGTTTACCCAAATACCCAAAGGTGTGAATAGGTAGATTGCAATCAGCTTAAAGTTGACTAATACTAGTTTATTTAGTCTGAAAATCTCTTAAAATAGAAAGTGGGTCTGTTATTTAATATTTTTGAATATTTAATGTATTTTCATAATTATTTTTTTTTTTTGCCCTTATCCTTTAGAGAAAATGGTGATATAAAATTTTTGACTAAAGGAGATAACAATGAAGTGGATGATCGAGGCTTGTATAAGGAAGGCCAGAATTGGCTTGAAAAGAAGGATGTAGTAGGAAGAGCACGTGGGTATGTGTTTTGTATGTTAACAGGTTTTTCTTTGTTTTTTTATGATCTTTGCAATAATTACTGCTAACTACTGAGCTGTCTTTATTTAAACTGTTATAAATGAAATATTGCTAAGTTTTTGGAAACCTGGGATGCATAACTTGTACATAAACTTAAGTAAAACAACAGTTTAATGTACAGACTACTGTGCAAGGATGCCCAAAAAAATTGAATTATATAGATTCGCACCATTTATTTGGAATTTGTAAGGAACTTGATCACACATGACTTGTAGGAGTTAAAGGAGCTACATTTTTATGAAATTGTAAGAGTTGGCAGACTAAAAATATTCTGCAAAAGAAGGAAAATTTGTATACATATAAAGCAAGAAGTAAGATATTAAATAGTAGCATTTATAACGGAGCTCCAGTACTCCGGCTGAGTACCTCCGTTAAAAGTTCTGTCTCATTAAAGAATACAGCATTGAAGTGATATAGCCCTTTTACCAAACTTGGTGAAGCCTAAAACACACACACAGATGTGTGGAGCTCCGTACTCAGGCTGAGTACCTATGTCTGTAGATAGAAGAAAGTCGCTCTTCAGTGATTATAGATATTCGCCCAAAAACTAGATGAGATAAAGTGTAGGGTAGAACAAAAACTCTGCTGTATTGAAAACAGCACATCTATTTATACCCACACAGGCTCATTTATATAAAAAGGGTTACAATGATACAAACAATCTCCCTCCCAAACAGCACAGTGACCAGTCAACTAATAGCAGTATGGACTTGGGATAGTAACCAATTACACTACAAAGCCTAATTACATTAGTGTGAATGCAGTACTATGTTTACAATGAACAGACAATAACAAGGGCTGAGGAGTTTTGTGTTTTTTTTTTTTTTCAATTCTTTATTTTTGGTCAAGAATTAGCATAAAAAAAAGTGATACAGAATACATACTTTCACTGTTCAGATGGGACAATAATAAGAAGGTAACGATACATAACATAATTTGTAGCGTCTCATCCAAAGTAAGCAACTTAACGGTATTCTTTTAATCCACGACATAAGCAGTGTCATTCACTTTTTTAACTGTGCACTTATCAAATACAAAAATTTGGTTAACTTATTTATTAATAGTAGAGAGAGAAGAGAGACATGAAGGGTCCCTTGGCTCTGAAAAAAGGAGACTCCGTACTTTGAGGGGAATGCGGGAAATGCGCACAACCCAGATATTAGGCATGTACTGCATCCTTGAGTAGCTACTCAGAAACATATACTTATGGTTCCATAGCTCAGGGACAGAAATTATCAGTAAAAGGTAGTAAGACAAAGCGATGAAGGTTAAGAAGAAAAGGATAGTATAGTAAGTAGTGGTCACCTGCTGGGGAAAGGGGGAGGGGGGAGGGCAGGGAGGTACAGGTCGCACCAGCCAAAGTGTAACTCTGCTCCCCACAACCCTCCGAACATCATTCTAGTTCAGTCAATAAAGTCACTTGTGTTCCAGGATTCCCATATTTTCTCAAACTTATGCACAGTGTTTCTCACGTGTGCTGTCAGTTTATCCATCAAACAATTGTCCTTAATTTTTTCAAGGACTTGAGAGATGGAAGGAACAGTAGGCTGTAGCCAACTCTGAGCAATAGCCCATCTGGCTGCTAAGGTGACCTTCTGAAGAAAATTTTGTTCCTCTCTAGTCCACTCGTCTAGAGGTCTATTCAGGAGGCACACCCATGGGGTCAGGTATGGCCTACTATGAAAGAGGTTTTTCTAAAACATCTACTACCTTGGTTTAGAGTGGTCGTATCTGGGGACAGTCCCACCACATATGTAGGTACGTGCCTTTGAGGCCGCAACCCCTCCAGCGCAAATCGGTTGGGGTCTGTTTCATGCGATAAAGTTTTACCGGGGTACTATACCAGCGAAACATAGTCTTAAAACATTGGTCTTGCAACGTGATGCATATGGAGTAGGAAGCTGCCGCTTCCCAAATAGCCTGCCAGTCAATACCTTCCAGTACCTTCCCCAAGTCTGCCTCCCACTGTGTAATGTAAGTCATCTGTTTCCATACACTTACATAATGTAAGTCATCTGTTTCCTTTGTTTCCATACACAGGTAAGCACATAGCAAAGCTATCAGACCACTCTAGGGAGTTTCATTCAGACACAGCCTCTCATAAAAGGTCACGTTTTTGTGTGCTGCCTCTTTGATGTATGTCTGCTTTGCAAAGTCTCTAATCTGTAAATACCTAAAAAAAAAAAAAAAGTCAGACGGAGTAAGTCTAGTGTGTAATTTCAGCGTATCAAAGGTTATTATCTGACCCACCTGCATAGAGATGACAGGATCTCTGGAGTCCTGCCTTTTCTATATTTTTTCAAATCTCGGGCTGAAATACCCGGAAGTTAACGCCCGGTTTCTTAGTAGAGGGGTGATTGGGGAAGGGGATGAAAATAAACCAAATGTATAAGCTGTTGCATCCCAAATTCTGGGGGAGTGGAGTATGGCTGGGCAAGTGGACCGCAAAATAACTCTTCTATCTCTAGGAACCCATATGTAGTATTGGGGAAGATCTGCCCCCGCCATTAAAGACTCTAAATCTACCCATTTCCTGACATCCACCAGTACATGCCACATCGCTATGTGAGTAAGCTGTGCAGCCAGATAATTGTAGTAAAGATATGGTAGACCCAGTCCTCCCCTAGTTTTAGGGTGGTAGAGGACATTTCTGGATACCATGTGTCTCTTGTTCTGCCAAATGAACGACCCTATAGCGTTTTGTTGGGGCGCCAAATCTTTTTTTTGTAATCGCCACCGAGAGAGCCTGAAAGAGGAATAAAATACGTGGCAATATGTTCATCTTTACAAAATGAACACGGCTGATCCAAGATATCGGTTTACCATGCAGTTTTCCATATCTCTAATCAGTGATTTCAATAAAGGCCCATAGTTCATTTTGTACAATTTAATGGGGTCAGCTGTTAATTGAGTCCCTAGGTCAGGCATAGGCAGCCTTCGACACTCCAGATGTCTTGGACTACACCTCTCATGATGCTTTGCCAGCATTATGGATTTAAGAGCATTATGGGGGATGTAGACCACAACATCTGCGGTGCAAAAGGTTGCCTACCCCTGCCCTAGGTGTTTCATAGAGCGATGTGCCATCTGAATGCTATAGGTGGTTTGTATGAGTGCCGTGTCTGCCGCCGACAGACCCAAAGGGAGGGCGCTAGATTTATTCATGTTTGCCTTATGGCCTGATATAGTTCCATACATCGTCAATGCCAGAAACTGTTTTCCCCCTACTGTAACTCCGTGGATGTCCAGGTATTCGCGGATAGCTTGCAGAAGGCAATACAAATAGTAGAGGGGAGAGCGGGCATCTCTGCCGCGTACTATTTCTCAATGTGAAGGGCACATAGGAGTTTTAAAGGCGTTTTAAAGTAGTGGAATGGCAGCCATTTTAAACTGGTCTAGACATGTCCCTGGAACAATGGGACAACACCCTGCTGGGAAAACAATAAGACAGGAGAAGGGGGAAGAAAATAACTAACAACAAACAAATACATTATACACACCCTGCACCTGTAATGGGTACAGGGTGACTAAAACACAAGAGGTATCTAGGGATCTACATAAAGTGTCTGTCTTACCTTCCCAGTGATGGTGACTACCGTCATAGAGTTTATTGCAAAATTCCAAAACACAAAAATTGGCAAACTTGGAGAACCCACCACTAAATTAAGAGAAGAGCTGTCTAACACCTTTCATACCACTAGGGTACTTACTCATAGACCAGTAAGTATGCATTTTTTGTGTTAATTTGGGAATTTTGTAATAAACCTTACTTGGAGATTTGGGGGGAATTTTACCAAATTTTGGGTGAAAATTTGAGTACTGCTGTGAATTTTTTTTTATTTCTGCGCAGGAATTGACAAACTTTCCAGCTGACTGGGACTTTATCAAAGCAAGCAATGCTTGTAGGAAATATGTGCTTGATACAAACTTTGGGAACACTAATCTATCAATGAGGAGTGAAGCTTTGATTCAAACATAAACATTGTAAATTGTAATCATTTAAAAGATGCCTTGACCAAAAACTTTCAAGCAGGAAATAAGCTTATATATATTAATCAGAGAGTCCTCCCGATGCCTCACTACCATAGTATCACGGTATTGTGCAATGTAATGGCACAAGTGCTGGTTTGCACAGCATCATTTGTGGATGCATCCAACTGCAAATCTGATTACAAATGGTTATGGGAGTAGTCAGCATGGTCACACGGCCAGATAAGGGGTAATTAGCAGAATTTTTTTGAAAAATTAATTCTGAAAATATAACTGTGCAAAAAGATAACTTTTTGATGATGAAACATTACAAACTACCTTCCACATTCTGTATAAGTGACGTTAAGCTCTTGTAGATGCAAACATCTGAAATCAGATAAAATGAGCGATACAACTGAAATAGAAGACTAGTATTGGAGGGATTCGCTTTCTGCCTCTGCTTATATTATCAGAAATATTATGATTTTTCTAAACTATCTTTATTTTTTTAATGTTTTCATTTTTTTTTTATGTGTTTATTTTAATGATTTTTTCCCCAGCTTACAATACTCTTTAAAGCGGCATTATCAGGTTGCAATCATTTTTTCGTCCCTCTATTTCCCCTTGTGTATTATAGCCATAGTTTATTCAATGAATTGTGCAATATCTGTGGTGTATCCTCAGTACCTTTCACACTTAACTTTGGCCCCTACTTAACGCCTGATGCGGCTACGGTACTGGCCCCTACGCTCTGCCGAAGACCTATGTCTATCCTCTGTTTGTACGCCCAACTCATTTTTTTCACAAAAGCATGTCATTTAAACTGGTAATGGCTCCCAAATGATTTATCTTCTGCCACTGTCATTTAAAAAAACAAAAAAAAAAGGCACACTTAGTCTTCAGTGAACACTATTCTACTAATAAATAACCAATAAACCTATATAATAATAATAACAGCAAGCAGATGTAACATAAGAAGTTCAGTGCAATTTGGTTTTCAGTTTACTACAACTCAGTATTTAGTGAATACATGCACACCAGTTGGACTTTAAAGACAATTCAAAGGTTCATGTACATTATAATTAAAGGACGGTTGTAGCGGAGATGCAATATTACCCAGGTTATCTCCGCTTATAATCCAAGTGAGGCTCAGGAACAAGTAAATAGTAAATCCACAGGCAAGGTTTCCAGCAGGTAAAATAACAGCAATATCCCAACAGCAATCCCAATAACTGGACGACACACAGTTTCAGGAGCAGAACTGAAAGCTTTAATCCACAGTCTCCTTATAAAGCATGCTCCCATGCAAGGGAGGGATTTACAGTAATTATTACAGTAGCCAATCCTGTCCTGGTAACCTCCCACACATCTCCTCCCCTCAGCCAGCATCATAATCCCCTTATCCAGTACAGTAATTCCCCCCGTTTCTGGATGTACCCCTAAACGTAGGGGTACCTCTTTAAATCCTACATCCCCGGATACCCCTGATCTGGGTGAACAACATATCCAAAAATCACCCAGATCAGACCAGGGGTTCGGGAAATGTATGGAGGGAATAAAATGACCGACCGCACTAACTGAGATAGCCGAATAAGGTTCCATGCGAATGGGCCCTGCGGTCGGTCCTGGCATAAGGGAACAAAATACACGAAAGCCTCTAGCTATAGAGGCTAGGGAGGGTTCGCCTGAATCCCCTCGTTCGGTATTTTCTATCTACCGAACGAGGGGCCGTTCGGTAGTTTGGAACCGAACGGACCAGGTTTGTGGAGGTCTCAGCGGTGTTCGCCTACTCGAGTGTCCGATTTTAGTTCAAGACACTCGACGGCAAAACACAGCTGTTCGGGAGTTTTAAATGGAGTTTGTCGAATGGCGGCCACCCCCGAGAACAAAGGACGGCTACTTACTATTCAATTACCCGTTCGCAACAATGTTGCAACGGGTAATTGAGGACACACTTCACACAGGGGAGGTCTGGTTGTTCAGTAGTTTCATTCGAATAAACTAAGGGAATGAAACTACCGAACAATCAGAGGAATACAATTCTTTTTAACACATATAAAACACAACAGATACACAAATGCAGTTATGTACAGTATATTTGTAGGATCGCCTGGTGCCATCCGCTACAACGGTCACCTCAAAACAGTTTTTACTATATTAACCCTAGTTTCAAATGGCATAATAATATGTAGTGCAGTTATAACAGCTCCCATCCTCACTCACTAAACATAGCAAGGACACCTGGGACATCTGTGCTACTGGTGAAACAGATCTACATTCCCTGCTCCAGTTTAATGAGCATCTACATTTCAATATTGCTATTCTGTCATAAGATGTAATTAAAAGAATGCAGATTGGGTAGGATATCCTCAGTATGAGAATATACTTAGGGCAGGTGTTGCTTTAAATGCACAGACTTCCAGCAAGACAATTTTAGAATAGGCAAGTTACCTAATTTTTACATTGTTTTTGTACCCCCTAAGTCCTAGAATATAGAGACTGTCTTGCAGGTTTATGGAACTGTTTCCTATGAGTGGTATGTTCAAGGGAAATTGCTACAAGCACATAAAGTAAAACAGATCATGGTTATTTTTATGTCAAGACCACAGTGAAATAGACATATCCTCCATTCTCTCCGTAGAGCTGATAATGATAAACTTCCTTCAAATTGTAGTGTATTAATCATGGTTGACCAAGTAATTGAAGAGTTTTGGAAAGACAATTTTAGGTAATGGACAAAAGACGGACAAAAGACAGACAATTAGAAGTGAATAACTTAGCCAAGAGCTGAAAGGACCTATGAGGAAACATTAAAAGCTTTTAAAAACCTCTACAGAACCTTGTGCTACAGTTTACATGATGTTCCCAAGGCTAGGAACCGAAGACAAACACACTGGAGATAATTGTCTTTCTGTGCTTTTATTTCTTCAGGCGTATTTCTTAGATTCAGTAGAAAACAATAATCGTGTAGCTCAAACCTCTTTAGACTGCTCTCTGTGTGTATGTACAGTGTAATACAAATAGAAAGCTAGGTAGCATGCACATGTAAAGCATGTAGTCTTATTCTTGAGCAGCAAATTAATTTTATTAAAACTTAGGGGCGTTACTCTCTGATACCAATATTACGGTGAGCATTGTGTTGAGTTAATTCATTGTAATTGATACTTGGGTATCATTAAATTGAGCTATAAATTTCAGGTAACGTGCTTTCAATATATATTTTACAGATAATAAACATTTAAATGGCACCATAAGCAATTAGTTCCTTTCACCATAATTTGAATTTGAAAATAAATTGAATAAACAGAAGATTAAAAGTTTCCATCAAAGACTTGGGAACGAAGGGTAAAAAAAAAAGGCCTCAGCGAGCAATTTTTTTTAAAAATTTTTTTTTTTTTAGTTTCAAATAGTTTTTTATTTGCATGCATGTAACAAGAAACATATTGCAATATGGTTACAGTTGGAATGAGATGACATTTTACACGGACAGGTACAGTGAAAATATAACATTACATCGTTTTTGTCACATTGTGTCTTTAAACAGGGTTTGCATGAGTTACAGTTGGTTAACCTTGTTGCTGTCATCACATGCTGCAAAGGTTTTTCTTCTAACAAACAGTGGGGGGGGGGGGAAATGTAGAGAGGGGTACAGTCATTCAACCTTGTGTTCTGTTGACGCTAGCGTAGTGCCTGTGTTGTTAATGTTAGAGGACATTTATATGCAGCGTAACCCAGAGTTAATTATAGATAAGTAATAAAAAAATGAACATTGGGGGGGCGGGGCCTGACAGCCAACATGGCCGGTCGCACACTCAAAGATCTCCTACAATGACTGGCAAAAGAGCGCTACTACAGAGCGATCCAAATGTGCCAGTGGCAAACGGTGACCGGGTCCGAGTACAGAACAACAGGAGCAATCGATTGATACAAGCCCGGCACCTGTGCGCAGCGGAAAAACCTGCACCGGCCATGCAGCCTACACCAGAGCGAAGCCTGGAGTCCGGGGGAGGCGGCCGATTTCCTGCCCCAGGACGAGCTCCTAAACGAGAGCACACTACAGCCCTGCTACCCCCCTCCCCCCCTTCTGGACCGGCGGGGGATATCCCGGTCCTCGCTGGGGACGATCAACCCCGCATTCCTGCCTGCCCAAGCAACGAAACCCGCACCCAAATGGAGATGTCAGTGCCCAGCTAAGATGGCGGGACAGCGCAAGACGAAGCACTCGCCTCCCAAGCACACAATAGAGTTTTTCCACAGGCTTTGTATATACCTATGGGCAAAGCTTAAAGCCAGGAGACAACCCTTCAGACTGGCGGCGAAAGTGGTTAAGGTGTGGATCCGCCCGGCGACCCACCGCTGCCTGCGGTGGAATCCACCACGTGGCCCCAACATAGCCTCCCGACAGGAACGAAGACGAGGAGCAGTGTGGCGGAAATCAGTGCAGGGCACCTCGGACGACAGTACATACGAACACGGAGCCCGCCGGAGTGCCCAGCCTGCCTATCAATCAGCGGTCCCAGCAACAGCCATCCCGCAAAGCACAACCCAGCACAGAGGGACCGGCGGAGCCGACAGTGACACAAATTATGCCACAGCAAAGTTGGGGACTGACCGGCAGAAAATCTACCCACGGCCAATTGGAGAGAGAGCACTGAGGGGGGCGAGTGCCCTACCGCGAAAGCACAACCATCACCCCGCCAAGTGAGCGGGCTACCCCCGGGCAGGACACCCCCATGATGGACACAATGAAACACCCGGTGGGTATAGGCTGAAAGGGCTGTCCTCACAGGCATATGGCGCTGGACTCTAGCTTCTGCCTTATACACCCCATAGGACAAGGTCACCGCTAGCAATACCCCACAGTCCAGACACTCGCCTCACAGCATGTGCCTCTATTGAACTGGGAACAACTAAACTCATATTGCACTGCCTAGCCATGCAGGTTATTAGTTATTAGATTCACTCTTCACGTAGTCCTGCCTGTAAGCCGTGCCACAACATCCTGCAAGTCCAGCTGAGTTAAGCTTAACATGCAAGCACTTAGCAACCATACAAGCGACTACAGTAATGTCCTAGCTAGCATGTGACTTAATATATGGTTCTAACTGCATCAGCATAGTTAACCTAGCTCCAGTGAGCACTAATTGTTTTTCTTTTGTTTGTCTCATTTACAATTACTCTGACATTTGTAATTTCTCAAATATTACGTTTAGATCTAAAGTTAAGCTTTTTTACTATACTAAAAAAAGTGCAGAATACCCATGTCATGACACAATATCTGTTGTATTTTCCTATTATTACTATCGCTGCCGTCATGGCACCACACGCATGTAAGTTAAATCGATGCACAATAAAAAAATGAACATTGGAGTGCCAGTCGGTTGTGTGATTATTAACACCTTGGGTGTCACCTGGTTATTCCTATGACCCTTAATATGGGCACGGCTGTCGACTCTTCATCGGCTCCGACAGTGTATGCGTGTATCTTAAGGCTTTCTGTTGCCTCATTCCAGTTCTCCCAGGCTATCTTCCATATTTAGATTTTTTTTGGTTGGCCGCCTGTCTGGTTGCGCATTAGTATGTTTTATTTTGGTCTATCAGTTAGATACAATCTTGAAGTGTTGGAGCTGTCTTGGTGCGCCATCTCCTACCAATTAGTGTCAATGCTGCTATGGTAATCTGAAAAATGAGATATGCCATATTCGACTAAGTCTTGGGGGGGTATTTGTGTAGGAGGTATATTTCTGGGGGTTTTGGGAAATTCATGCCGGTTGTTGATGCCACTAGACTCATCGTCTTTCCAATATTTGGATAATCGTGGGCAATTCCACCAAATATGGAGCATATCTCCCTTGGCTTCTAGGCATCTCACACAGCGGTCATACACTGTAGGGAGCATTTTGTGTAATTTTGTCGGTATTAAAGGACCACTATAGTGCCAGGAAAACATACTTGTTTTCCTGGCACTATAGTGCCCTGAGGGTGCCCTCACCCTCAGGGCCCCCTCCCACCGGGCTCTAGGTGGAGGAAGGGGTTAAACTTACCTCTTTCTCCAGCGCCAGGTGGGGAACTCTCCTCTCCGCCTCCTCTCCTCCTCTTCGGCTGAATGTGCATGCGCGGCATTCACCCAGTCCATAGGAAAGCATTCACAATGCTTTCCAATGGACGCAAGCGTCTTCTCACTGTGAAAATCACAGTGAGAAGCGCAGAAGCCCTCTAGCGGCTGTCAATGAGACAGCCACTAGAGGCTGGATTAACCCATAGGTAAACATAGCAGTTTCTCTGAAACTGCTATGTTTACAGAAAAAAGTGTTAATCCTATCTGGACCTGGCACCCAGACCACTTCATTAAGCTGAAGTGGTCTGGGTGCCTATAGTGGTCCTTTAAGTGCCATCTATAAAGGATTTTTGTGGTTAGTTCTATATGTGAGGAACCTAGTGTTAGTTTTTTGTAGGTGGAAAACATTTTCTCCCACTCTGAGTCTGTTAAGTCCCTTTCCCAGCTTTGTACAAAGGTTAAGTTTTGCAGTGTACTCCTGTGTTTAGGCTGTTGTATATCAATGAGATCGATCTTGTGCCATTAGTGCCTGTTCGAAGGTCGACAACCGTTGCCCATTTACATTGTTCAGTGCTGGTATATAGTGTTTGCTGAGCCATGCTCTTATTTGTCTGTATGCATACTCAGCTGTACTCTGTAGGCTAAACTGTTTCTGTAGGCTTGGGAAAGGTGTGGTAGTCTTCCCTTGTATGATTTGCGCTATGTGGAATATATGGTGCCTTTCCCATATGCGGGAGTTGAAGTCAGGGACCAATGATTGCAATGTGGAAATCGTCATCGCTGGGGAGTAGGCTTTAGTCAAGCAGAGTTTGGCTCTGTGAGTTTCCCATATGTGTTTTGTTAGGGCAGTTGTAGGTAGCATCGTTAGGTCTTTAGGTTTGAGATGGGGTGGGATCCACATAATTGATAGTAATTGGTGCCCTGGAGTGGTTGCTGACTCTGGTGTTACCCATTGCAGGTTATTTTTGGGGGTTTGTGCTAGAACAATGGGGTTAATGTTTGCTGCATGGTAATAATGTTGTATGTTAGGAAGGCTCATGCCTCCTTTTGTGTAGTGCCTGTACATTGTTGAGTGGCCAGTCGTGGTTTCTTGTTTGCCCAAATAAATTTGTTTAGCAACTTTACAGTAGGAGGGTGATATCCGGATTGGCAGGGTCCTAAAGAGGTATTGGTATTTGGGAAGAGTAACCATTTTTACAGCGGCTACTTGACCTGTCCAGGAGATGTACTTTTTGTGCCACCCCTGGAGGAGTGAATGTCAGCGAGCAATTATTAAGAAATCTAAAACAGCATTAACTGATGAGATTTTTCAATACTCAGAGACTTAATCGTAGACATATAGTACAATTCCAGCACCAACCTGGAAAATCCTGAAGGTAAATGCCTATGGAAGGGAATTCTAGGTAAAACAAAATAATACATTTTTTAAAAAGTTTAACTTAAAGGTCCTGCACTAGCCATAAAAAAAGGAAATAAAACATACAATTAAAGCTAATTTATCTTTATGGGTGTAATTATTTATAGAATTGTTGTGAGAACAACAAATGTTACATAACTTCAGTACTTGTATTCTCAAAGAGAATGAGAGCATTAACATTTAGGACACAAATGCCTCCTCCATATCCCCTTTATTACAATGCAAGCTCATGTAATGCTGTCAAATGAATGTTTTTCTCTACTGTGCCTGGTCTTTCTGAACAGAGTTCGAGGCAATGCTGGGATCAAACCACTTCTTTCTGTGACTGTCTTTTTACACTGGAACTGTTTACTTCTATGTAGTATTGCACATTGTGCTGATATTTTGATACTTAAAATTCCTGAACACCTTAGCAGATTACTTACAATTCATGTAATGCACAGGTGTATTAGTGTTTACACACTCATGCTTACACATTGTCTCTGCTTTCTTTAGATTTTTGCCGTATGTTGGGATGGTTACTATTGTGATGAATGATTATCCAAAATTTAAGGTAAGAATGCAAAACATATTTACTAAGGCTTTAAAGTGTTTAATATCTATGTGTTCTTACTTGGCTACTGGATAAGGTTCCTGGAATGGAAACTATTATACTTAAAATCAAAGACAATTATCTTACAGGCAAGTTAACATTTCAGGTTTGAAGCACTCACTTCAGCGAATAACCCTGTAAATGTATGCATTACATTGTATCACTATTTTTCAAATTTAAATATTCTGGAGATGATTTTAAAGCAAATATTCAATATATACAGAATGACTGCCACTGTTAGACAATTTCGTACAGTAAATAGTGTGCAAATGGATACTGTGTGATAAGGAAGAAACGTATATATGTGTGTCTGTTATATCATAGTATTCCACTGTACTGACAGCAGTTGCTCTGTTTAGAAAACTGTAGAAGCCTGATATGGGAGGGGAAGTGATCCTTGCATTTTTTTGTTCACCATTGATGTCATCAAGATAGGCAGAAGAATGGAATAGAAATCCTTAACATTTTAAACTATAGTGTATGATCATGACAATGTTACAATGCAGCTTTTGGGAACCTGTCACCACTAACCTGACCATCTGCTCCACTGCCTCGGTCTCATTACAGAGGTGGGTGTTACATTTTTGTAATATCCACCTCCAATCCACTTGCGCTTTGCCCTGTCTCTTCACTGATTTTTCCTGCTTGGGAGGCTTCCCCAAACAGGGCAAACCCCCTCCAGGACACGGATGTGCTGGCTTTGTTACAAACAAGCCTGCGACTGAACGTCAGTCACTCTGTTCCTGTACTCCAAACTAGCTCTAGCAGCTCCAGCTAGGGAAGTACCATTGCATCAACTGCACGTGCGCTGTTGTTGCTATGGCGTAAATCAGAAAGGCCTCCTCCAGTCTATGCTGAAGAAATGATTGACAGGTGGGGGAAAAACTATTTTTAAAAGTGTTTTTCTTCCATTCTATACATTTGTTAACACATGGATGAATTTTGAAGCTCTTTGAAAAGAGCGAAAGTAGTTTTGGCATGACAGGTGCCCTTTAATATATACTAAAACAGTTAATATATGTCATCACAGTTTCCTTTTTTATTGGCTACACTTATCCCACAATCCTTTCCCCTTGTCTCCTAGTCCTTTCCCATAGTGTTTTGCGGAGTTAGATTTACCATTTGGATGCACCATGTTACTTTGTTCTATGTTTGTTTAAATTGGCACATTGTTTCTAGGTGTAACAGTTTATGTATTTTTTTTCTTACAGTATGCGGTTTTGGCGATTATGGGCGCTTTTGTACTTTTAAAACGTGAATCCTAAAATTGGAAGAAAATCCTGCCAGAATGAAAAAAGTCACTGAAACTAATATATTCTGTTTTTGTTTAATATTTTATTTCTGTAAAAAAAAATAACAAACATGTGAAGTCTCTTTGGCCTGTACAAATACAAGTTCTCCTTGAAGTCACTGTTTTTCTATTTGAGACCTAATAAAATGCTGAAATAATATTAGTGCCTTTTGTAGATTTTATTTTTTTTCATGTATAAAATCATTATTTAAATAAAGTTATTTCAGTCAGCAGGAGAGATAAGACTGTATCCAATGAATTGTACAGTGGAAAAATACATGCCGAATAAAAATACGTTTTTCAGAGGCAATACATTCAAATTATGCTCTCTTAGGATGCCCCAGACATACAACCAAGAGTCCTAAGAGAATAGATAACAAAGTGAGGAGAGAGAGTTTTACAATGGTGTATTCCTACACTGATCAGACACAACAGTAAAACCACTGACAGGTGAAGTGATTAACATTGATCATATTGTTACAATGGCACTGGACAAGGGTTGGGAAATATTAGGCAGCAAGTGAACAGTCAGTTCTTGAATTGAATCAGGGCCATAGATGCTCAAGGCTCATTGATGCACGTATGGATTAAAGACTGGTCTGCCTGGTCCGATCATGCAGAAGAGCTACTGTAGCTCAAAGTGCTAAACAAAAACAATGCTGTCCATGATAGAAAGGTGTCAGAACAGACAGTTAGCTGAACAACCACAGACCGGTCAGAGTGCCTATGATGATCCCTGTCCACTACCGAAAGAGGTTTCAATGGGGACATGAGCATCAGAATCAGGTGGATGGCCAGGGGAAGAGATGGCACAGGATGCACTAAGGGAAAAAGACAGGCCGGCTGAGGTAGTGTTATGCCCTGGGCAATGCTCTGCTGGGAATGTTACGCTGACATGTACCACCTACCTAGAGATTGTTCCAGACTATGTACACCAATTCATGGCAGTCTATTGGCAGTGACCTCTTTCAGCAGAATAATGCACACTGCAGAATTTGGTCAGGAATGATTTTGTGGAATCCATGCATTGATGCTTTAGAGCTGTTTTGGCAACATGTGGGGTCCTACACAGTATTAGGCAGGTGATCAGTGTATATGCCTTTTTATATGCAAAGCATAACAGATCACACTAAAAAGCACGTAAGCTCCCACTGCAGATAAAGAAACAAGATGTATGCGAGAAGGGTATATAATCTTGCTATGGAGCTCAAATTGTCTAGAAAGATTTGAATCAGTTGCACAAAGCAACTTATAGGATAACCGTCCCTGTACTGTAGAAGAGCTAATGTGCATCTAGAAAACTAGGGTTAGGAATTTGGTGGCATTAAGTAAGTGCCAGTCAAGAGATTTTTTTGAATTTAGCAATGGATGACTTTCTGAAGAGGAGTAACATGGCAACATGTTAAAAGGGAAATTCTTGACTACAATAGTAGAGATGGTTGTGTTAACTGTTTTGCAAAAAGGGACAATTTGAGGGTCACTCCACCCACCACAAGTGTACAGCATCGACCCATTCTCTCATCCAATAGGGTCCTGAAATAGTGTCTATATATTTTGTCTAAAAGTTGTGATGTTCTATACCAGAATATGAGAAGCTTATAATTAGTTTCGAATTGAGGATGCAAAAATGAGTTAGAGATTTCAGACAACTGGTTTAACAAAAAAGTTACAGAGGTTTTTCTAAGAAGGAAAACTCTGTGTTCATTGCCAGAAAACTGCAAACAAACATATCTAAGTCTAGATAATACGTCTGTGAGAGGAGTTGATGGAATTGCAAATTATATGGTTGGTTGATTCATAAGAATGAGGGCATGTTTCTGATCCAACCAAAAGCTTGGGCAGATCCTTGAAAGACTTGTGTATGTGAGATTAACAGACTTCCTCGAGTCCAATTTTCTGCTCGACCCACTTCAGTCTACTTTCCGCGCTCAGTACTTTGTGGAAACGACTCTGACCAAAGTATCAAATGATCTACTCGCTGCAAAATCTCATGGTCACTACTCTATCCTAATTCTCCTTGACCTTTCTACATCTTCTTTTCATCTTCTGTAATCTCGGTCTATGAGATATTGCTCTCTCCTGCTGCTCCTCCTACCTCACCCAGCGCTCTTTTAGTGTTTCTTTCTCTAGTTCTGCCTCTTCCTCCCAACCTTTCTCTATTGGTGTCCCCCAAGGTTCAGTCCTTAGTCCCCTAATGTTCTTGATCTATACTGTCTCCCTTGTTAAACTCATCAGTTTACCAAGGGAGAAGTCCTGCGCTCACTCCCATCACTACTGGGCCGGCAGCAATAACTACAGTACACATCAGCCCCAATATATAATAAAAACCAAAGAAAAGAAAAAGTTACCTGCACTCTCTCCTTAATCCCTATTTATATTTAGACAAATGGAGGTCATTTAGTTGCTCCAATGGTCATTGGAGGGAATGCCCGTCTGCCAACGTCAAGGCAGACCCCCCCCTAAGCGGTTCCTAACACTGACCCTTCAGCCTGCTTCCTTGAGCTTCTGTCAAAGATATCTCTAATGAGACAGAGAGGGGTATTTTTTTTAATAAGTATATAGGGGTGTATATAAAAAAATACAGTACCAAAAACCTTCACTTCCCCTCGTACTTACCACAACATTTGACCAATTGGCTATTACTTCAAACCAATTAAATTATTGGTTTTCATGGTGATTACTCACTTCTTCACCAGTTTATCTGACCAAGGCTTCATATTAGGCTGTAACGTAGGGTAATTCATAGTAAATATGTAGGCAACGTTTTGACAGTCTTTTCTTTTTTTTTGATTTTTCGGTTATGTCACTTTTACATGGCATTAAATGCAGACTGGTGTTTGATGTGACGTCTTTTCTTTAATAAAAAATAATTCACTGGGATTCTATGACAGCCCAATCATTATTACATTTTATTGCTCATCCTTCTCAATGTAAACCTAAAATATATTTAAAGGTCAATGCTTGCCTTTAAAAAATGAGTCACGAACAGATAGAATCTAATAGTTCCTCGAATTAGATTTATATTTAATATAAGAGATGATTAATTCAATTATTATTTGTTGCATTGTACTGAAACACATATAAGTACAAAGTAAATAAATCTTTGTTTCTTACAGAAGAAGATTTTCAGGCATCTATGAGTCCTTGAAATCTATGTAAGTGCGCTGTGTCTTTAAGACAAAACCGGTTTTAAAGTGCAGGAAGTGTTATAATGTGCAGAAGTGCAATTTGCATTATAGTGCATAAAACTCAATGTCACTTATATAATGTGCAAAAATGTGGTAAAAGCACAACTCACTTACTTCAAGATTTATATATTGTTCATCTCAATGTATCACAACATGTAAAAAAAAAGGGAAATAAAATGCAGATAGTGTAAATCTGTATGACTATATACAAAATTTAATGGATATAATGCACACTCACAAAAGTAGAGCAGACGAGCCTGCTCTAACTGTCACAACTCCAAATAATACTCCCTCTTTGGGCAGTAAAAGACAGAGACAGTTGATCCACTTTTGCAGATTTATTGCACATAAAACATACAGCAGCTTCGTCCAAACTCCCCCTTGAGAAGCAGTACAAACATTCAGGTTGCTTAAGTGCAATGCCTTCTTTTTTCTTTCTGGTAACCAGGTATGGCGCAATCGAAGACGCGGTCGATCGTGATGACGCGTTTTGCCATGTTCACGGCTTCTTCAGATCTGCCCACTCTTGCCTGTCAAAGTTTTTTATACACTTCGCTGTTGGCGTGTTTTCCGTCAATATAGTCTCAGAATTGGGAAAGCGTCCATATGGAGATAATTACAATCTCTCCAAAAGTGCAAATTGGCTAATTTCATCTTTATTAAACATATATATACACATACATTACAATTCTAAAAACATATGAAGCATATGACACAATTGTATTCATTAAAAAATATATATATACATATTTTTAAGGAATAAAATTGTGTAATATGCTTCATATTTCTTACAATTGTAATGTATGTGTATACATATGTCTAATAAAGCTGAAATGAGCCAATTTGCACTTTTGGAGAGATTGTAATTATCTCCATATGTCGTAGGACATGTGAGTTGCGGTAGATAGAGCACTGCATGTGGTACGATCGTTAGTTCAGCTGTGAAGGTAGGCCTCCCGATCTGGTGCCATCTGCTGGAAAACTCGGTGCGTCTGTGACTGTGGCAGCTCAGATCGGCGTGGACCGGGATATCCCCCACCGGTCCACATGGCGGGGATGTGGGGGGTAGAGATGTGCATGTGTCCCTCCGCCAGCCAGAGAACCGGGAGAGCAGCTGTCTCTCCTCAGCTCCTACTGGTGCAAGCCCAGAAAAGTCTTGAAGGTGGTTGCAGAGGTGAGTATGAATATAGATACAGGTCTTCGGCAGAGCATAGGGGCCTGGATGGGACATACTTGTGTATTAGTGAGGATAGGTAGGTAGCACATTATGAAGGTTTGTAAGCAAGTACCAGAATTTTAAATTGAGCCCTAATTTTACAGGAAGCCAGTGCAAGGTCTGACAGAGGGGGGAGGTGTGGGCAGACAGGAATATGTCCCTCGCCATTACATTCATGATAAACAGTAGTTATGTATGCATGAGCATTAGTGGCCAACCGTTTGGATGTACTTAACTTGCAACATAATCAATTGGCCAATACCACTCTTGAATAAATAACTACAAATACACCCTAGATGTGTGTACCTGTATTAAGTGTTGGGGGGACTAGAGGAGAAAGGGGTTAGTTTACATTCATATTTCTGGTGCCTAGCATGCAGCAGGGAGCTGTGCACTGTAAGACACAGCATCCTTCCTTCTTCAACTAGAGAAATTCCAACTCACAGACAGGGAAAGCCACAATATGTTCACTTCTCTGAATCCAATGCCTGCAGCGTGTGGTGATGTATGCTTTGGCACTGGAGGTGCCTTACTAGAAGCTGTGAGTGGCGCTAACTGCGGTATACCTGGCACCAATGTAAATGTGTAGGGCACGCAGAGGGAATTTGGTGGGAGAGATCACTGCACTTGGGGATTACTGAGGAGCTGCTTGCCCAAGGAAAAAATTGTGACTTTTTTCCTTGGGCAAAATAATTTGAAGGCCTGCCCCATCCAACTTGCCACCCTACTTGCCTAGTCAACCTATCTGATAATATTTCCCTATTAAAAGAAAGTTATTTGTCCAGCACTAACTAAACAGAGAGCCATTGGAATTTAGATACCCCTCCTC